TGATCAGTCTCAAGCAGTTATCTAAGATACGGTCTGTATTCAGTCTTAAGTGACCGATTTGATGTCGTTCACTTGTAGTGACTTAGTTTATTCACGTAACTATTTAAAGAGTATAAAATCAGATCATTCATGTGACAAACGATTTGTTCTAGACTTATTGATTATTTTTTACACCATATATTTGTCCTTGTTAATTTATTTAACGTTACGTTAGTCGTTTTTGTACAGTTAATTACTAGTACTTGCCCATGTATTCTTTCACATACGTTTGCCTTTATATCTTCGAGATGAAACAAAACTATACTAGCGCTCTCGAACTGATCAATTAGATTCAGGATGACGAATGTCGTAAGTATATGTAATTTATACAAAGCAGTTATGAATACACCGTTTAGATTTTATGTTTTAACTAATTTGGATGATGAAACAATTATGGTATAGCAGCTCACTTGCAATTGAGTTTGTTGACATTTAATTTGGTTAAGCCCTTTTGTTAACTTATTTGGCGGACAGAGTCATCCGTGCTATAACAACTTATCTATGTCTTTGTACCTTTATTATTGTTGTGCTTGTATGAAATATGTATGCTTGAACATTGCTTACTGCCTACTCATATCTTCACTCTTCTAGCCTTACTATTAGTCGCTTAATTGATTCGATGATTTACTCATTTCCCTATGTATATATATGTACATTTTAATCCTATTCATTTTGACTCGCTCATTCGACTCGCACTCTCACTCTCTTGCTCACTTGCTTTTCAGCACTACTCTTTCATGTTTGCTTAGCGTACCTGCAATTTTAGAGAACTGTGTGTGGTGCAATAATAAACGTAGTCAGCACTTCGTATTCGCCTTCTGATTAATACACCGTTGTTGGTTATCAGGACGAATTGTATACGAATTTTAAGAATTATGTTGAATACCGACCACCACAATGGATCACTTACAAAATATTGGACTTTGAGGAATATTATTCTCTGTAATTGTGGATAGCAAATCACTAGTAGGTAAAGTACGTAGTCTTTGGAGACAAGTTGGTTTCACGTTGCACTCCATTTCAGCCAATAAAGTCTACGAAAAGTGGTATCTCTTTTACCAGAATTAAGCCAAAAATACGACAGATGATATCGGTGATTGAATGCCTACTGAAAATGTAAGTAATCGTTTCTACTGCCCAAGAATGATATTGAGGTTAAATCTGTTCCTTGATAGAGTTGAGAGAATCGTGAGGATCGACGAGACAGTTCAGAAAAAAATATATAATAGCGGTGGAAGTATAAAGGTGAATTAAGTACGTAGTACGTTTTTGAATCCTAAGTATTTAGCATTCATGATATGGAATAGAACATTACAGAAAGCTATTTTGAGTGGGTTTCAAATAGAAAGACATCAACTCTTACTTAGGATAAGACAGTATATCCTACCTGGAACTATGTATAGGGGCGATGGGAGAGCCTATGAATGCTTTAAAGGCACAGTTATTTCTATCAAGTATCCGTTTATAAATGACATTTTGTGAACCCTAAAAAGAACGTATACAACAACAATTTTGAAGCTATGTGGTCAAGATTCAAGGACTATCTTCAACTACATAAAGGCTCCAGAGGAAGATTGATTGATGGTTACGTGGACGGATTTTTTTGATTTTCGTCCCAATGAAATCTTATCTGACCTCTATAAATTCATTAACCATTTTCAAACTATATATTCATTGTATTTTTTTCATTTTCTCGCCATACATATTTCTTTCACATAATCTCCATTGTGATTGCGTCATATCTGATTGGGCGTTTTCAGGGCCACTCTCAGAACTCCTGAAGGTCGTCAGTGTAGTTTTATTTCTGTATTTCTCTTTTCAGTAGCACCGTTGTCTACTTGGGGTTATCCGTATTATCATTTACGAAATTAATTATGGGATCTGTATTTTAACCGGGTTGACCTATGGCTACACAATATTTAGATGAACATTTCTAAATGCTTCGTAATTTCACAACTATATACGTTAGGGATTATGTTAATCCATAGTTCGGAATTAGTTTTTTTATGAAAAAGATCTTAGCCAGGTATCATTAGATATGCCAATCAGCAAATCTTGATTGCTACTTTTCCATATATATTTATACATAGATACTCATTTATACAGCTTCATTTACAATTTTCCCCTTTGACCAATTGGCTGCTTTGTAATATGTTATACATAATACAGTTATATAAAGTTTCTTTAAATGTTCAGTTTTTTACATGAATAAATTTTTAATTCATCCACTTAAATACCTTTCTGTGTCATCAAGATTTTTGATACTTACATTTACATAACTGGTTTTTCTCAATTTAAATTACTGATTTTCTAAATTTTGCCTTAATATCAGTTAATTAAAAATATTTAAATCGACTCATGAATTCAACTATTAAAATTACTACAATCTCCACAAACCCCATTCTGACAATAATCATCATGTACTGACTAGTGACTGGCTTCAAGATGTATTACCTGGGGTTCTAGTGAGAAGCCGTGACCAGTAGAGTTCAACCGTGTCTGTTGTGAAGCGATCACTCACTGAAGACAATGGTGGACGGTGGCGCAACTTTGTGGATTGGTTGAATTTAGACATTAATACCGTTGGATGCCGGCTCGGTGGTCCAGTAGTCAGGCCTTCACTCACAAGACCGAAAGTCCTATGTTCGAATCCCACTAGTAGGGTTGTGAATGCACACTGCTTAGGAGTCCCACACTCAGACGAAACGGCTGTCCAGTGCTTCCATGATTTCCATAGTGGTCTGGCTTTAAATGACTCATGAATTCAACTATTATATATATATGATTTATAAAAACCATTTGGAAATACTTCGTACTTTTTTAAGCATAGTAATACCATGGTAGTACATTTCTTTGTTTATGTATAATATTTAATCTGTTGTTATTAAAATGAAAACATTTGATAAGAAATATTTAGCGAATAGTTGAATTTTATGATTTATTTGTTGATTTACTTATACTTTTTTTATTACACAAAAAGTCACTGTCATTAATTTTTATTTTTTATAATTCCATCCATTTTACTTTTGTTCTTTTTGAGAGTATGACGTCAAAGTATTCTTCAATTATTCACGATCTAGTAGTCTATACTAACAAATAGTATAAAAAGTCAATCTGAAAATAGTAAATTATAATTCTTTATAAACATTTATGAAAGTTAAATCGTAATCGATAAACAACCTTGTATTTTGTATGTTGTCTTTCTATGATATTCATAAACTTTTCCGAACATTTGAATTGATTCCAGTTACTTCCGGTGTGTAGTAGAGGTGTAATCTTATGCATTTCAATAATTTATTTTTGTAACTTAGCATATAACAGAGAAAGCTTCTTCCATCGTGATACTATGTCCATTGTCTGTTAGATAGGAAAGAATGGCGCAGCTTATAGACTTATTGACACCTTAGTCCAATCACTTGTGCACATGTTCTCGAATACGTAAGGATAACCCTCTCTGAGTTCGGCTTATGTTACCAGCTCCTCTGGAGCAGTTTAACTGATAAACGTATATTGACAAACCAATTATTGCTACCTTATACTTGATTTTCTGCATCATCGGTGGGCCAGTTGGTGAATTAATATGCAATTTATCGAAACTGAAATTCGTTTTGTTGGATGTATGGAGAATATTCCTCACTACATCACTTTCAAAATCAAGTTTTAGTTAGAGTGTTTTCTTCTCAATCATAGCAGTCTGTAGCTTGTTTTCCAGTTCAATGATTTATTTCTTTGTTCAATTTATAAATTATTTGTTTTGCAGTAACTTTTCTCCCACACAATTTTCAAGGTATATTCGTTAGTATGTATTGTAAACTTCATCTACTTTTCCTTTCATATAGATCTATACGAGCTCTTCTATAACAAATTCTTAATTATACATTAATCTTGTTGTATTTCAAATCACCTTATCACTAAAATAAACACGACACACTATATCCCAATTTATACTTGTTATTTTATATTAGATTTTTTTGTTGGCACTCATCGTCTTTAGTCACTAACTATTGTTTTATCCTTTGTTGCATGATCTTTTTAATCTAACCAGTGATCCATTTCGTTAGTATTAAAATTCATTAAACGTGTCATCCACTGTTTTCATCTTATACTACTGATTTTAACCATATCATTCATGTAATGCAACACAATATTCATGTATTTATAACTATAAAGTCTAAAAGAGATATCAAATATGATTGTTCGTTGAAAAATTGCGTTTATAATTTTCTGTGAGAATTCTTTTAAGTAACCACAATATTCAGTTTGTAAATGGTTACACTTTAAATGTTGATAGAGAAAGCATATAGGCTGATATCTTGAATATTCATAGAGATTTGTATTATTCACTTCCTAACTTTCAGCAGTCTCGGTGAGACTATAATTTATGGATGACCTTTGAGCGACGCCAGACTGACCTTGAGATTGTTCACCTAATAACCAGGACTAAATGAGATCTATAAACCTGCGTGAGGAATTGGAATTATGATTTACAGTTGATGATTGAGGTTAGAAATTAGATTTAGATTTTTAATCACGAACTGACATAAGCTATAATGCCAAAACCTTATTTGTCCGAATGAATGAGTGGATTTTGTGTCAAAATCCGTGACTTGTTATCTTATACGTGATTGGTTCATCCATAAATTATAGTCTCGCCACAGTCTCTATTGGTATTTATACATGTTTAGCCGATCTCCTTGATTTAGCTTTCTTTTTGTTACAAATTCTTATGTGTTTGGCTTAAAGTGAAATTGTGAATAAGCGCTTCATCTATTTGGAACTAGCTAACTGCATACATCATTATCCCATTCGTAGTGTCAGCACTGCGATCCAAACCTACTACCTTCCTATTTTCAATGTTCTGTTGGCATTACTATTTGTACAATCATAATTTATGTACTTTAATTACTAACTAAAACGCAACAATAGAGTAAATCAAATACCTATTTATCTGTTCTACTTAGGTTACCAAAGCAATGCAAGGTTCTAGGTATAGATGTTCCTGACTACTTCAAACAATGGATAAATTTAAAACAGGTTGGTTTATTCCAGTAACAATACACGTTTATTCTTTATTCTATTAAACCTTTAAACCGATAAACAGTAGTGATTATGATCTCTATATTAATACTATATCCTTGATTACAATTCAGTATGTAATGTCACGTCAACTTCCTATTTTATATACGTTATGGAAATTTAAAATGTATTAAGATGTTTTTTCAACGGTGATTACTAGCCAGTGACCTCCATCCACGAATGCTTTTGACCAGTTTTGCCGTTATAACATGCTTTTTGATTCCTCGATATGTTTTAGTCTCCAATCGTTTTTCAAAAAGAAGAAAATAAATCAATTGTTGTGGTAGTTTTAATCAAATTTTACAGCAGTCAACTTGACAATAGGTTATTAACGTAAAAACTCACATTTACTTGAGATTAGCATAAAAGAAGATGCATATTTATTACTTTTTTGTTCTAGTTAACGAAACACAAATCTCTACTTATTTGGTATTATTTCCAGTTCTCATTACTCTAAAGTCATTTGCAACAATATCGAGCACCACTATCAACTTGTAATATTTTTCTTTCTGCATTTTACAGAATAAAACTAATTTCAAAATTACCTGATTTTGTCTGTATAATATGTGATAAAATTTCGTAGACTTAGCAAAGCGAGTACTATTTTATCGAAAAAACATGTGGATCAAACTTGTCAATATGATCACTTCGTCTTCTTTACATACAAAAAAGTATCATGTAAATATAAAAATTAACTGATCACTTTACATATTATAGAGCGTTTTGTCTACATGTATATTTTTTGAGCACATTTTCAAATAACTTATCAAACTGGAGTCTTGGAGTAGTTATGACTAAGACAAGTTATACTCAATCATTAAGATTTTTTACGTTTCTAGGAGATAAGTTAATACTATTAGTACTAAAGCAGAGAATAAGATAGTAGTTTAGTCAAGTAGATAATAGGAAGAATTACATTATGCATAATATAATGAACAGTAACGTAAGGTCCAATAAAACTAAAGTAATAGAAGATAGACATGGTTATATAAGAATACAACCTTTTTATTGATAAGTTAGTAGAGACAAACCGGACCAAGTGGATTGGCGGTTGTTTAAATTAATATTTTTGATCGCTTTAGTTATGGATCATAACTAACTCGTAATTATTAAATGTGTTCTTGTCCTATCTCGACCTTGAAGATAGATAATCAAAATACATCTCATTAACCAATAAAGCTACACTGTAATCGTCCCTGATTCATACATATTCTGTGATGACTAGAAACGTAACTAGGCAGCAGAAATTGCAATGATATAGTTAGTTTAAAATTTCATTAGCTAGTCACAATTTTAGTTGTTTCAATGTCTATAACTTTAATCCGGTTGCCCGTTGGTAGTTGTAAATAGATCAGTATCGAAAATTTAAACCCGTCTCATGGGTGGATTTATCAGTAAAAATAATATCAAACATTATATTTGTAGAGTTGGAAATTCGGATCGAGTAATAGATATTTTTTGGTTGTTTTATTATTTATCACGTCATTCGTAGCATCCTTTCACACAATGTATGAAAATACGATAGTTTATAAACTGTCTGATAATTTTTTTGGTTTCACAGGTATATTGCGGTGTGATGGGTCAATTTCCATTCGGTATGATGTCCATGCTGTCGGGACTAAATATAAAACACACTGGTCGTCATCACAGTGGTATTGGTAATGTGTAGTATTGTCATTAATATTTTTATTTTTACTCACTTCGTAGTCTTAGGAACTAAGTTAATCTATAGTTTTAGACCACCATTGAAAGCCCGGAAGTACTGAAGGGTCGTCTCATTTTAGCAGAAGGCTCTTCATCGGTGAGCGCTGGACTTGAATGCTTAGCCTCTAGACCACTGAGCCAACATTCAACGGTGTTAATCCCTAATGTCAATCAATCCGCGATATTGTGCTACCATCTATATTGAATTTATTTTGAAACGGATTTGTTGAAAATATTTCTTTATTCATTATATGTGTACGTATGAGCGATGTCATCCGTATTGTTGGCTCGTACTAAACTTTTATCTTAAAACCAAATTAATAGCAGTTATTTGGTATTGCTGAATTCTCAGTAGCTCTTTAAAAAACCTATTCATGAAACTTAGATTATTACTATCAAATTCACCGCGATCTTTATCTTGATTCGGCTGTTGTTTTCATACTATTTTATTGTTACATGATAAAAAAATAAGTGATGTAAGCTTGCGAATCATTGTTTCTATTAGTTAATTAGAAGTCGATAAACGTAAGTTCGATAATATTTCTCAGAATTTCTTTTAAATGCAGGCTGAAAAATTTCATTCAATCAAAGGCGATGTAGGATTTTGCAAATCTCAGCGATAATGTCTAAACCTATTGATTAGGTTCATTATAACCGTTAACGAATTCACAAACTGATGTTACATCTTCATTTGATCGCTCTTAGATTTCTTACATCTTTTCTGATTGTCACTCACTTGATGACTGCATGATACATAAACAATGACATCTGCAATTAAATACTGGCAAACCGCGTTTGTGTTTTATTACCATAGTCCATTTCATATAGCTATAAACTAATTAAACTAGACTCTTAAGTATTGTATCTTTCTTGGTAAATATTTGTTCAGTCTAAAAATGTATTTCAATATCTTTGTTCACAGGAGTTAAACTAAAAAATTTTGAAAATTAGTACTCGTTTTATCAAGTTATTACTAAGTGCTTAAGTTGTCCGTTGTTGATATTAACAAATAAATCTTAATCAACCATCGTTGACATCACTACATTCTGTATATATTGCCTCGATATAGCCATTTTTTACAAATCATTTAGACTAAGTGATTTGTAGCTAAACGTTATTGGCTCTCTGGACTCAGTAGCTTAATAGGTTGAATTGGTCATTTAAAGCGAAAGGCACTTTGTTCGAGCCTCATTATGAACATCCGTACTGGGATGCAGGCACATCTAACTAACTAGTCAAAGACAAGACGAAAATAACTTCCTGGATTCGATTGCTAGCCATAGTTTATTTATTCTGCATAACTCGATGCTTATTTAGCTATATATTGGTATTTTTTCGCATTTTATTGTTATTGTTTTTGTGATTTCATTCTAGATGATTGTCATAATATCGCAAATATTTTATGTGAATTGATTCGATGTGGTGCTACTCTAGATATTACTGGAAACATAAAATAGTATATCTTGTTTCAACATATGTTGGTTGGTAATTAGTTCATTTTTTCTGTCAGAAAATGTATATATTCCATCTTGCATGAAATATTCCATATTAAACCTGCGGATAAAATAACATGCCATAATCAATCCTAAATTTTGAGTGAAATGAATAACAGAATTTGATTCAGTGCCAAAAGATAAACTTATTATGCAAATGTAAATATCAAAAATAATAAATATACAATCAAGTGTTAGATAAAGTGTTACTGTTACATTAAAAGTATGTGGAGGAATTTTCATGCATTCACATCAAGACATACAGAGTAGTCTTACAGTATTAGAATTAAAAATATATGTTGCAATTAATCAGATATGATTACAGTATTAACTAGATTGAATATTATCGGCTTATATACACACTCAAGAATATGACTATAGATTTACGTCACACTGGATACCAAATGTTATCGGAAATTAAGTCGGTTACTGAATCCTATTAATTATTGTGGATTAGTAATCGGGAGGAATTAGGACAAGAAAAAAATGAAGACACATAATGTACATAGATTTAACAGCCCCCCCCCACTCATCAAAAAGGACGACGTGACTTTCCCTACTTTCACTGAATAAGTTAAAGAAAATTATAGCACGACCGTTACTGGATCTCATTCTCAACCATGTCTGATGACGTCTCAATCTACTATATTGCACCACCTCTAGGATGCCGACCAGGGAGTCGTGAAGGACCGACAAAAGTCAATCCTGTGCAGCTGTTTTTCGTAACTCAACACCAAGTTATGCACTGTATACTACTTCATCTTTTCCATACGCTGTCGAACCTCTGCATTACTAACATGGTGTTGCCAATGAATGTCGGCGATCTCTCGAAGACAAAGATGATGAAACACAGAAAGTTGTATGGAATCCTCGATTCGAATAGGCAAGGTTTCACAAACAAAGAAGAACTGCTCTCATTGACACGTCGTAGGTCCGACCTTTTACAGCCAGACTAACCATGGAGGCGTTAAAGATGGCCCAGGATCACATTAGCCGCTCTGGTTTTCACCATATGTAAATTGATATTGCCACTCACGCCACCACCAACACTTACGCAGTTACCTAGATACACGAACCTCTTGACTACTTCTATCTGCTCACTACCCAATGTGAGTGCAGGATCAGGATCCTTCCAGTCCTGTAAAAGTACTTTGCGCTTGGAAGGTGCAAAGCACATACCATGCCTACGGACACTGATTGGAAACTGGTTAAGTGCGTAGTATGGCTTGGGTATCATCATACAGTAAGACGCCATCATCCGTATAATCAAGATCGAAAATTGTTTATCCAGGCGACATCCATAACATCACTCTCTTCATCCATCAGATCTGTTTTCAGAACGTCATCGATAGCAAGTTTGACGAGGAATGGTAAAATTGGTCAATCCTGTCTAACCTCACTGCTTGGATGGAACAATAGAGAAAGGTGGTTGTATGCCCTCACCCTGCCTGAGGTGTTTGTATAAACTAACTTCTCAGGCACACCCTTTTCCAATAGACAATCCCAGAGAACAGTCCTATTCAACGAATCGAAGGCAGCCCTGATGTCAAGAAACACTACGATTGTTGGCCTTTGATAAGTATGACAATGTTCTAACATTTGGCGGAGGGTGAAAATATGATCAATACATCCTAGATCAGAACGAAAACCAGCCTGCCCCTCGCGAGTCAATCTTTCTCGGGTTTTGAACAACCTCCGAAGTATGATGGAAGCCAATAGCTTGGACGCAATCGGAAGAAGAATTATCCCCTGATAGTTGTTACAGGAATGACATGAACCCTTTTTAAAGATAGGAACAACTATCGACTCATTCCTTGACGTTGGTAAACTCTCTAGATCCAACAGTTTCCAGATGCAGCTGCTGCTTCTAATTCATTGCCATGATCCGACCACCAGGCTTCTCGGTCCTTACTCTGGCCCCGCCTAATTTGATTTATTTGTTTTTGGTCAAACTTGCAGTCATCCAGAGTAGACGACGGGTTCTAATAAGTTTTAAGGACCCTGGAAAATCCCAATGCTCATAAGCGGGACGTTTCGCGAAGCCAGGAGCGAATTTATTCGCCATTTCCATGGCGTCATATAATTGCTATCAATGCCTCTCCATATTTTGCTGTCGGACTGCAGCTAGTCTTGAACCTAGCTCGGTTCCATATCTAGATTCGACGGAAGCTGCAACCAATTTGTAGACGTCAATCCGTTTAGGATGGTGAATTTGTTGGCCACTAAAATGTCCATTTAGTTACTCCAAAAGAAGCGGCGGTATTGCACACAACGACACCGGCGGCAGCTGGTCGTAATGTGACCAATCTGAATCCAGGCTTGAGATGCTGTAAGACGCCAGGTAGCATATCGCTGACGACTGTTTCCGTAGTTAGTGCTAGCCAGAAACAGGTCGCAGTCTGCACACAGTTGCATTGGACACTCACCGTCACTCGACCTGCGACCAATAAGTTCCCATCAATCACCTAAACGACTCTCCTCTGTGTCTAGAGACCTGAACTGGACATTCAAGTCCTCGGCTAGTAATATAATATCTGTCGAATGACAGATAACTGTTGGTGAAACTCATACTTGGTCACATCCGGGCAGCAATCTGCAGGAGCATAGGCGGAGACGACGTATAAACATGGTTCCTCATACCAATTTCCTTCTACTTTGATGGAACTAACAGTACGTAACTGACTGTTGATGTGGATCCAATCGGTTTGTACTGCCTCAACTCTAACGTTTAGTGTGACACTAATGCCAGCAAATCAGACGAAGACGCCACGAGGTCACTGAAAAAACATATGTGAAACAAGATCTTGGAAGCGACAGATGGGAGTGAATTTGTAGTACTTCACTAATGCCCTGAATATGGTTTTGTGACAGAAAACAGATATTGATGCTGAGACTTTCCAAAGACATAGTCAACCCTGTGCTGAGAATTCTATATTGTACCAAAATATAATATTGAATAAAGCCATTAATAATAATATCCGTTATCCCATACGCACTGGTACTCGAACGTTGATTGAGGCCAGTTTTGCTGGTTCAGAATTCGTAATGCGTGAAAGCATTCAACTTTCGACTAGTCAGTGACTTGGGATCGTTTAGATGGCAAATTGTCTCCAACATAGGCTAGTTACTGTAGAAGCTGAAGAATAAATGTAATATAACAAATGGAAATAAAGAAATGGACAAATGGTTTGATGTCAAATAAAAACGAGTATTAACAAATTGCTCTGAGTATAATTCTCATGAACGATAATTGAAGCATGAATGATTGCTCTCTGAGCTTTTGACCTGGAGGTCAATCCGCTAGTCAGTGTAGAAACGTTGGGAGATGTAGTCCCGTGGTGAATGATGGGCAACGACAAGTTCATGTATCATTCATTCCTTCTGGATTCCGAAGCCCATGCGCACCGATGGTTTGAAATCAGGGTTTTCCGACTATTTTAGGTAGATCCTCCGTACCATCCAACCCTAAATTTCGTGAATAACAGCACCACCGTGAGAAGGCAGAATAAGATTTCCCCAACGGTGACTATACGAATGACCATACGGAAGCGGTTTGAGAGAGAACAGACCCACCTTACTCTCGTCCGTGTCTGGGTATCTGGTGTTATGGATTCGAGCGTATTGAATGACGATGCGGTGCTTCGTAAGATATCACCTTTCGGCCAAAAGACCAGTTAAAGTTATGTCGGAAGAAAAACAATGTGGCTAAGTTTCTTCGCTTATTTTTCTTTGTCGGCTCCATTGCTCCTTTACACCTGCTCGCTTGCTTCTGCCCATTCCTCCTGTGATCATCTTTTTTCTGTCGTCGTTCGACTGTTCATTGCTTCTTTGATCTCTTTATAGTTGTCGTCCATAGTAGTCTTTTCTTTCAGTAAACCGTGTAAAGCCTGGAACCTGCTATTAGGAGTTATCTTGAATTCGTTGGGTTTGCCAGTATCTCGAAGGAGAGTTTTATTATGCCTATTTCATGCTGTTTTTCCAAATGTTCCATTTCTTACTTTCAGTTTCATCTTAACCATAACCAAGCGGTGGTCTGAAGCTATGTCAGCTCTTCTCCTGCTTCTCATGTCTTCTACTGACTTTCTTAATATTTTAGTGAAGCGATTATGATCGGTTTGGTTCTCAGCAGTGTGGTCCGGCGAGGCCCATATAGATTTGTCTGTGCGTTTTTCGAGGATCATGGTGTCCTCAATAACTATTTTGTTGAAGACACATTATTTTAAATCTCCCACCACTCCTAGTGATTCTCCTCATTTCATTTCATCTCATGATATCTTCACAGCCGATCTGATCCATTTCGACTGTTGCTTCTAGGTCTCACATCAGCATGAGTAGTTCCTTTCCTGGTGACTTCTTTACCGTTGACTTCACTTTCTCATAAAACTTTTGTTTGTCATTTTCGTGGCCATGATTGATAGGTGTATAACACTGGATGATATCCATTTTGATATTTTGCTTCTTCGTTCTGATACATGCTTTAATGTTTCAGATTCTCATTACATAAGCGCATTTTCAAGCTTCATTTGACAGGATCAGTACAACTCCTTGTGCATGAGTATTGGGCTGCAATTAAACGCAACTCAGTTTCGTAAATGCGCCCTTCAGCATAGAAACCAATCAAAATGAGGCGGAAATTATTATATCCGCCTTCTTTGTAAGCAATGTCGGTCGGCTTTCTTCGTTCTGTGCTTCTTTCTGCTATTTTTTTTGTGTAGCTATGTTCCAGTGTGCTAAACTGCCGCAGTTACTGTAATGTTTTATATGTTGGTGTAAAATTTAGTTCGAATCAGCATTGTTTTTTGGGTTTTTGCTGCTTCTATTCAAGTCAATGTATTTCTTCAGTCAAGCTGGCTAGTCTTATGTTTTAAAATAGTAATCGGTTTTATATTGACTTGTTTTTTAGATATCTAAAGCCGAAGTTCGTTTTTTTAGTTAAAATAATTGTTGCTGATGCCTATGACTAA